TTTTTTTTTTAAATTCTGTGTTTATTGTTTATTTTCACGTTAAAATTGTAAATTAATTACATTCAACATAAAGTAAGTATTTTTTTTTTAATCTATAATGTACTTGCTACAGACGAGTAATTTTCAAATTAAATTAATTTAGGTGGTGATTTGAATACTGGCGGGGGCATTTCTGGACATTTTTGCACCAAACTCTTCATATTCAAGCATTCTGTGCCTGTTAAAATTTAAAACATAGTTAAACTAATGCAAACAGTTTCCTTAACACTACTTACTTTCAACCCATATATCTTTGGGACAGTTCTGAAATAAACAATTTTGACTTTAGGTAAATGTACACATTGTATAATATGATATCTATGGTGTTCAATATATAGCACTATTCAGAAATAGAAAGTAGAGCAGTTTATGTTTTAATTTACAATCAGTTTAAATAATGTTAATATTTCATCATTTTTTTCTAATTGAATATAGAGTTTAGATTTAATAAATCTAATATACTTAGTAGTTTGTTCAACAATTTTATTGTGTGACATTTTAAGAGTTGTGTGTAATCTTAATTGCTTATGCTTTCTTGTTAAATTAGTAAACCTTACATGGTAATTTATGATAATTATATCTCATAAAATAACAATTATTATTATATTTAATTCAAATATTTTCAGTTTTAACTGTYTTAAGTAATTTTGATGTTCCCAATTTATTTTAGATCTATTGATGTTTGATTTTTCACTATGTGAATGTGTAGTTGAAATTTTTTCAAAATTACATACAATTTTWAAAATGAAAAGCTATAAAAAGTAGCATTTATAAATTAAAAAAACATTATCTAATATAATATAACTATTGTGTTATAGTTTTAAAAATAACAACTTCATCATTCTGAAATGGATAAATTAAAGAATAATAATTTTACCATATAAATATCTCTTAAGAAACATTTCATCAATCTTCCAGCTGGGGTATTCATAATAGCAATTTGTTTTTTATCTTCTTGTTTAACTAAAATCATAATATTTACATTTTAATTAATGATGATGTGTACCTATTACCATTTATACTAATTCACCATCATTAAAGCATTTATTTAGAGAATCCCGCCATGTAGACTTCCATTTTTCATTATTATTCATTCCTTCATTCATTTTTTTAGTGATAGCATCTTCATTGAGCTTTCCTTCACTAGTCTAAAATTGAATTTTAAAATTATTTCAATATAATATATTGTGTGTATTTATTTTGTACTTACAGTTAATCCAGATTTCATGAAAATACATTGAAAAAGACATGGTGGTTCTATAA